TGTTGGCTCTTCTACAATATCACAACATGTATATAAATTTTACGTTACCATTATATAACTATCTTGTCACAGTCCCAAGAAAATTAGATTAAATGTCCATTTCATGGGTTCATTTTCGCATTTGTTACATACTATAGTGTCTCTTTTAGCTCTAATTCCAATTAGGGAGCCGTTCCAGTTACAGAAAGACGTCTTCCTCACTTCCGTATATGTTTTACACCATTAAACTTAATGCAATATCGAGGTCCGAACGCCGTCAAGCTGAAATTCATTATATTGATCTCATAGACATCAATGTGTGTGAGAAATAGCTGTGGTTACCATTCCTAGAACAGGAAAATTGCATTTAGAAGGATACAAATGGAAATAGTGTCAGAAATTTTATAATAGATGTATTCCTTGTCAGCTAACCGAAATCATTCACCATCAACGTGTGTTTAATACGTTATCAATTCAGTTTACACGTTTTTATGCGATGGATACGTTCCACAGAAGAGCGCATATAAACACAATCGCATAAAAAAGGCATTACTTGACTTGAAAAACTAGGAAGGCGTTTCGTAGAATTCTTAAATTACATTTTTTTTTATTGTATAATGGCTTTGGCATAGAAAATTAGCCAGACTATTTGTGGTAGTTACAATTTTTGATATCCCCTCCAATGATAAATGGCGGAGGAATATGTTAAAAAAAATGGATCCATTCTTCAACTGTTACTCTAATACGTGGTTCTTTGTATATGGATATTATATGTATAGGTTTGTTGATACAAGAAAGTTTAACAGCCATGCATGTGTAAGTAAAATTATAGTTATCTAATAATTTTATATCTTCTGCAGATCTTTTATCTATAATTAAAATTGCTGTACCTCCATAGCCATCTGTGCGATCAGATCTAAAGCAATTATAACCAGCGAAGTTATAGAATTTTCCTGGTTTAAACCATGTTTCTGATAACATGGCCACATACACAATTTTTTGAGTAAGTAAGGCTTCTAAATTTGGTTTATTAGAAACTGCTGACCGGCAGTTCCATTGTAAAAAATTTATAGGGCTAGTTATGTCTGAGAAGATGGCGTTTGTCCATGTAAGTCTTCTTGCAAGATCGATGCCGTACTTAAGTATTTATTAATTTGTTGTATAATCTCTGTTTTTGATGCGTCTAAATTTTCAGTGAGTTTTAATGAACTGATTATATTAAGAACCAATTCTAAAATTACATTATTTAAATCTAATGATACTCCTTGTGTCTGCAAGTTTGTTGTATTTCTATTCTCTATATATTTAGAGGTATTATAAATACCACCTTTTTGTCTAGGGATATTTATTAAGGAGATTATTTCTTTTCTAGCTGACTCCAAACGATCGGGAGTACCTACTTGGACGTTGTCGTTTTAAATTTGATTTTTCTGGACTACTGCTGGAATAAAACATTTGTGAAGAAAACTTTTTTGCGAACGAACCAGTTTGATTTGGAGTTACTTGATAGGACTGATCATTGGTATTAGAGTTGGTTGTCAAGAAAGAACTATTATGTCTGGCGGCGATATTGGCATATGATTTTTTCGGTATTTGTTTACAGGCATCAAAGAAGTTTAAATTTAATGATGACATTGTGTTACAATCTTTTGTGTTATGAAAATCATGACATTTATTGCACCTGGGACGTGCTTTGCATTGAGATCCAAGATGTCCAAAACGAAGGCAAGAGAAATATAATAAAACTTTTTGAACATAGGGTTCGACTTCTTTAATTACTTTATTGATTATGATATATTTTGGAAGAGTTTGTGCTTTAAAATTTACAATACATGATTTGGTTGGAACTTTGTCTATTACTGTTTTATCTTCGATATGTTTTTCTACCTTTCTATTTATTCTTCTAACTGAAGCTACTTCAAACTTACAGTGCATATCGTATTGTTTAATTTTATTTTTGATATATTCCTTAGAAAATTCAATATCTATATCTCGAATTATACCCTGTCTATGTAGTATAAACTTCGGAACGTAAACATCATAATTATTGTTTGTAAATAATGAGCAAGTTTTTTAATTGATTAAAAAATTGGCCGATTGATAGTCTTTAAATTTAATTCTGATTCTATTCTTGCCGATTGAATCAATACTAGTAATTTTGTTATCTAAATTTGGAAAATTTGATAATATCACACCGATTTTGATAGCATTTATCTTGCCTTTAAAATCAGGAGTATTATTTTCTATATATACATGAAAAGGACCTGTATTGCTGCTCTGATATAGAAATTGTTCTCTTACATTTTCTGTAGACTTATTAGAAGTTTTACTACTTACAGTTTCTCCGCTGTTTTTTGAGTTACCGTCCCAGGTGTTGTTTATATTTGATTTTATTTTTTCTATATTAACATCTTCCTCCATCAGGCTAATATCTGGAGGTTTGTCTGGTGGTCTCCCTGCATAATCCATATCAAGTTTTTATTAATTTAACACTTTAACACTTTGAATCTATCTTACACTTATTAACACTTATCGTATCCAAACGGTAACCCCCAATGGGGGTAAAATAAATTCAAATACACTAGACTTTTATATTTTCCACAAATTGTCACAAAATTGTTTCACAAAAAACTTTTTCCTTTATATAGAGATAACGTTATTGAGCTTCGAACGACAAAACAACTTCCTCGTACAAAGGCCACAACTAGACTGCATAAATTACATAAAACCAAGAAAAAAACAAAAAAGTTTGCAGATATTAAAAGAAATAATCTGCAGGATAAATTACTTTGAATATCTGAACGAAATTCATACAAAAGCTTTAAAAAAAAAACTTGCATTTAAATCTAAATTAATTAAATTTTATGGGAAAGTAATAGGTACATATTATCGCTATCTGCTAATATTTAGCACCGTTTACGAAGTGGTTCAAAATCATCTTCATCACTAGAAGAAAGTGTCTCTACCATACATATTTGAAGTAAAGGCCCTGAATTTTTACAAATTTCATTCTCGTTCTGTGTAGCTCCTTTTCTTTCCACATTCTCCATTTTTAATCCTCCAGTTTTGCAGTGACCATCCTGTGTTGTGTAGACAGTTGCGGTTCCTTTTCCGTTAAGATATTTTTTATATTTTATTCTAGGTTTCTCGTAATGACTATATAGTCGATTAAGCTTTTCGCATTTCTCTCTTCAGCGACAAATGTATATTTGTCGTTAATGGTTTTTTCACTGAATATGTTTCCTATTATCAGGTCATTGGTTTCGCAGAATTCCAGCATCTTAATTCCATTTCTATTTAATGTTTCTTCCTCATATTGTCCAATGCATCCTAATCCCCTGTTAATGTCCTTACCTACTCTTGAATTCCAATCGCCTAAGATTATTATTTTTTCTCTTGTCTCATTTAATTTGTCTAATGCGTTTTGGAGTTCGTTGTAGCGCTATTATTATCTCTTCTTCATTACCTTCTGTTGGTCCGTATAGTTGTATTATTCCTATCTTGTCTTTTAGTTCTATTTGGGCTGTGATTATTCTAGATGATACTGCTTCGTAGTTTGTTATTCTTGATTCTATTCTTTCATTCACTATTATACCGACTTATTCTTGTGCTCTGTGACTCTGTGGTACTCCGGAATAATAAAGACTATATTTCTCATTAATATTGATGTGTCCTTTCCTTATCTTTTTTGTCTCGCTTATTCCCATTATTTGTACCTTCATTTTTTTCATTACTTCCCTATCTTCTACTTCCTTGCCGGTCAGAGATGTCACATTCCATGTCGCATTTCTTATATGATTTGTCTTGTTAAGATGTATTTCCTTATTACTATATTCTTCTTCTCCATTATTGGTGGTATCGTTGATTTCATGCTCCCTGGTTTTTGTATTAACATTATATCCGTTATTTATTTTATTACCGTTTTTATTTTTAAACTAGTATTTATTTTTCCCTATATTCATTACTAATGCTATGCCCATTATTAATATTCCCCCTAAATATAATATTATCACTACTGTTAGTGTGCCTAATACCCATATTTCTATCACAAGTCATATTTCGAATGGGATATTTATCATTATTGTCCGGTTTATTTAGTAATTCTTCCTTCTCTATTCGTTGCTTGACCTCTCATTGGTTCTTTTTCTGTTGCTCTGGTAGTTTTTTGAACACGCTATTTCCACTACTTTTTCCTCTTTATAGCACCATCTCCATTCCTTCCGTCGACTGTGATTTTATTGTATTCTATTTTTACCATTTTTCCATTTTCCCTCTTCTTTTGCTTTATCCCTTAAAGTTTTATTTTCTCTCTCTTTCCTTTTGTGAGATACTCTGTAATCCATATTTTTTCGATCTTCACATTCTTAAGTTTGTATTTGTTTCTTAAGATTGTTGTTTTTTCTTTTTCGCTTTCTAGTTCAATTAAGCATGTTTTTGTGCCTATTTTTTGTGCTCTTTTAATATCAGTTTTGACTTCAAGATGATTTTCTAATATAGTAGTCATTCTCTCTTTCAATGTTTTTGAGTCTTCAGAGTCTATTATTGATCCACGAATGATTATATTCTTTTTTCTTTTTTCTTTGTCTAATCTTTTCAATGAACGTTTTAGATCATTTAATTCTTCCGTTATCTTTTGTTATCGGTTTTGGTTTCTTCGTTTTCTCTTTTCAGTTCTTCTTTCTCTTTTGTTCATTCTTCCTTGCCCTTTCTATTTCCAGTTTTATGCTTTTTATTTCTTCGTTATCTTGTTCATTATTTTTTATTCATACTCTTTTTTAACTAATATGTTAAAGTGCAGTCTAAAATAAAATAAGAAACTTTTAGCTGCATCTTGAGGTACGTCTGAAAATAAACATAAAACCCAATTTACCAAGTAATAATTTTATTAAAAATAACACTTTAATGCGCTTTCCTCTTTTTCTCCTCCAATGATTTTAAAGCTGGTTACTGAATAAAACTTGAAATATAAACTAAAACTCGTAAACTTAGTCTTGTCGAGAACTGGAGATTAACGATCCATTATGGTAGGTACATTTAAAAGAAAATTATTCAGAAATATAACACAAATATTAAACTAAATTATGATTAGTTAAGTTTTTACTACTGCCAGAATAAATTAGATAGTAGCGAAATTAGAAAATAAATTTAATAAATCTACTGGATTAAAACAAGGAAAGTAGCCAATTATGGAATAGTATCTTAATATTTATACAATACTGTGCTCCCAATTCGAAGGTCAGCTGGTGAAATACATATTAATGATGAAGATCAAATTTCACGGTTTTGACAAGAACTGATCTTCGCCGTATGTCATGCTAGCAAAGAGAAACAGTTTGTAGAATGCCTTTATTTAATCAGGTATGCCTGGAAAACAGCGGTTGAAGTTATTTCTAAATAGTATTTGGTATTTGGATTTGATAAGGACAAATTGAAACCTTTTTGAACCTTTTTGAGGATATTTACACTAAAAATAACTATCAACCAAATCTTCTTTACAAAGTGGATGAATCTATCCCTACAATAGTAATGTTGCAGGATATTTTGTGCCACCGTTTATTATTTTCCCCAGAAAAAATATAAGTGCTCAACTAATAAGAGACTGTCCATCAGGATCAGTTGGAGTTGCACATCTATTAGGGTGGATTCAAATAAATACCTTCAAAGAGTGGTTCAAGTACTGATTCTAGATGGACACTATAGTAACACACGTAATATCGATATAATAGACATCGCTAGGAAAAAACGTGGACATACTTTCTTTACCTCCATATACAACTCACAAACTGCAGCCGTTAGACAAGACTTTTATGGGGCCGTTAAAAACATACTACGATTAGAAAATATCCATATCGATTAGAAAGACTAAAAACAAAATTTGAACAGACATGCAAAAAAAAATAAATTAGCCAAGACAAAGAATAAATAGAAAACTGCAAATAGAAACAAAGTAACAAAGCAAAAAAAGACTGATTCTGAAGAAGAGATTCTGAGGGACAGGACGTTATCCAATTTGATGCAGACGGTGAACCTGATTAGTTATAGAGCCAAGAATTTCCTGACTACTGTTGCTCAATGGATGTATTTGCCAAATACTTTTTTCAACGCATAACAGTGGAGAAAACTGGAATAAGTGCATAATGTGTGAAGCGTTGAAGAAAAAAAGATCTACACATTTTTTATGATTTTGTCGAAACTACTGGCACCAAGGTAATAAAATTTTACGCCAATATGTTTTGGAAGCTGATAAATACTATAAATTTAATTTTATATCTCACTTTCATAGAGGGTGGTAGTTACAAGCTTAATATTATGCAACATAACATTTTTAAGGGTAGACTTATTAGTAGACTTCGGCAAATATGCAAATAAAAATGTAGAAAATATGCGCATAAATATGCACGTGTTTACCCGAAAATATGCAAATATTTTACAAAATATGCATACAAATAAATAAAAAAATCGTAAAATAGTAACAATTTTATTAAAAAAAAAAGTTTACATAACTAAATATTTCCTACTATTCATTAAGATTTACATTTATTTTAAGTAACTACATCATTTTTAAGTATGAATAAACTTATTTCAAGTGGTGTTCAAAATTTTCTAACAAAAACGTATGGCTTCTGTCTGAGTACATATATTTATATATGGAAAAACTTCGTTCAACATCAACTGATGTAACGGGAGCATTTTTCAAACTAACCAAAACATTTGGTTCTAAATTAATTGTTTCCGAAATATTTCCAGCTAGAACACTGACTACTTCAGAAAGAATATGGTAACCTTTATTTTTTTCCATAGTAGCTTCAAATTTTTTTAAAATATCTTTTCCAATATTACCTCTAACGTTCCGACAACATGACGCAAATTCTTTTATTAATGCTGTACTTTCGAACAATGACAGTTTTGGTGATTCTAACTGAGTAATTGTTTTTTGAACAAAACTAAAATTTAATTTTATACATGAAAGTTCTTGTTGAAGCAAGTTACTCTGGAAAGTTTGTTTAGAATCCAAAAGAGATTGGGAACTTTCATCTGTTAACGTATCAATTATGTTCTTTATTTTAACAAAATGATCTGCATAAAAATTAGCTGCTTCTAACCATGTTCCCCATCGCGTTAAAATAGGTTGTGGTGGAAGAGGAATGTTAGGTAGCATATCTTTATAAAGTTGAATTCTTATAGCACATTTAAGAAATACTTTTTTGACACTGGATATCATGGTATTTACAAGAGGAAACTTTTTTCGTATTTCCTCTGCAACTCTGTTTAAACCATGCGCTACACAAGTAACATGTATTAAATCTGGGAAAAATATTTTTAAATTGTGTCCTGCTTTCACCATATAAGGAGCAGCATCCGATAAATTAAGCAGTAATTTATTAGAAGGAATAGTTGTCGGAAGAAAAAAAGTTGCTAATGTTTCTTGTATAAAACGCAAAATTGTTAAAGCATTTGTTTTCTCAAGTTGCTGGCATGAAATAAGATGAGATTTTGGTAAGGTATCTTCTTTAAGTCTTCCTGAGGAATCAGTGGTTTCGTCTACAGATATGTAAAAATAATTATCTGCAATTTCTTCCTTAATATTAATAAACACCGACGAGTATAGCCCGTTCACATTATTTCTTCTTAGAGACCGATCACTTGGAACATTAAGTTTGCAATATTTTTTTAGAAACGAACTAAAATTTACATTTGCTAATTTTGAAAGCGGTATGTTTGCAGACACTAATGCGCGACACAAGTCTTCATTAAAAGTTTCTTGCTCATCTAATTTTTTTTAAGTAGATTGGAAACATTTAGCCATTGAAGTTTGATGTTTTCCTCCTATTTTTCCTTTTTTTGTAATGTGTGAAGCAGTTCTCACATGTTGGTCTATCTGAAATTTCTTCTCACATGCTATCTATAAATAAAAATAAAACCTTTATTTTAACCTAACCTTTAAAATATAAAAATATACAAGGTGTTTTTGGTTAATCAAATAACTGGTTTGAAAAAAAAAACACTCGCTAAGTGTTTTAAATGCAGTATTAATCCACAAATTAGTTTTTGTTACTAACCATTAGTACATCATATAACTTATTTTCAAAATTCAACAAAAGTTTTTTTTTGTTAATTCAATTACAATAAAAATAATTGTGTTTTAGAATAGCTGACTTCATAAAAAAAAGTAAAGGTGAAACATTTTTCTAAATACACACCATTGTATTGTACCATGGACAATTTTTTCTCACTAAAGGAAGCTATTTTTCATTTAAAAACAACCTACGAGTACTAAATTTCAAGTAAATACGTTTATTGGTTTTGAAGTTATTGTTGTTATTAACTAAAAGAATTTAATTTTTTTTAATTTTAACACCCTGTATCTCGAAAAGTAAATAAGTTTGACCCCTCATTAACTATATCGTTTTGTTCAATTTTTCGAGAAGTATCTACAGTCAAACGTTGTAAGTGTCATTTGGAAGCACCCTGTATGTATGAAATATTAGATATTTAATAGAAAATATTAGATACTTACAATTTTGCCACAGACTGAACAGTAGATTTTTTCCATATCCATAGACAGCTCTTTATAAGGTTTAATCCAAGTTGAAGCACTGGTTGTTTTAGGCATTATAAAATCACAATCTTCCTTTTTGTTACGCACAACGAGTGTTTACGCTTTGAATATCAAAACAAAAATGATTTACAAATCTGAGCATCAAATTAGAAATGTTTAGGTACTTAATTCAATAAACTGGGAGATTTTGGAAAATCCCTAAATTAGGAACAAAACTATTAGCCGTTTACCTGCTGTTAAGATACAATAAATTGTAGATAGATTTGGGCATTAGATCATAAAATGCAAATGAGCGAACCCTTAGCGATTATCCAATAACTGAATGCCTCAGTGACCGAGACTTTCTAAGAATGTTGAGGGGTACTTAAATTGATCTTCTTTGAAATTGTAAATGTTTTGTACTTGTAGAGATAACGTACTTAGATCATTTCTTGATTAAAATGACTACAAAATTTTATACAAGAATTGAAATAAATTGGTATGTTTAAAAATTTTCAAATACAGTATAAAAATCTGAACTTTTATGCACTTTATGCAAACTTTTATACAAATATGCCAAAATATGAAATATTTGCATAAAATATGCACAATATGCAAAATATGCAATATGCATATTTGCCGAAGTCTACTTATTAGCAAAAGAATTGAGCATTACGTACAAGTCAATGCAGTGAACATTTTTCAAAATATAGTTTCAGTTTTAAATGAGTAATTTTAAATAATAATGAAAGTCCATCCAGATAATATCCATGTTCTTAGTTACTTCTTAGTCATTTTTAATTTTGCTTGTCCTTAACGTTCTCTCCTAATTATTTTAGCTAATTTTCGCTTAAAACGTAAATTGTGGCTATAACCTACACAACCACAAAATATTTTATTTTCAACATACATATATTCTATTTAAGAGATATGTTATCAAAAACATGTTGATGTTAATTAAATCTTTTGAAGAGAAAAGCATTGTACCTAAATATACACCCATCCAAATTTAGGCACAAAAGCCTCTAGATGAAACAAGATACTTGTTTGTTGAAAACGAGAAGAGGGATATTTCGGTATGTAAAACAGGACCGAATAATATGTAATGTAGCTTTATTGTGTTGATTTTTGCCTTAAATAATATTTGTTTTCGAGAATTGATTCTGCAGAAAATTTTATTACATAAAACTTTTTTATTTTTTTACGATTACTGACGACATTGTGGTATAAAATAGTATGAAAAAAAAGAAACGCAACCAAAAATATATTAAATACTATATTGAATTTCCGAGAGAATCGTGCCCATTCAATTGGACTTATTTCCAGGAAAAACCAACTTAATCCAAATATACGCACCCACAGCAGACAAATCAGACGAAGTAATAGAGGCTTTTTATTACGATTTAAAGAAAGTCCTAAGTAAGTTAAAACCAATAAAGTAACGATAGTTATGGGTGATTTTAATACCAAAATCGGTAAGGGTAGTTATGGTGAAGTAGTAGGTTCATGGGGTCTGGGTGAGCTAAATGAGAGAGGAAAACGCCTACTTACATTTGCTACGGAAGAAGAGCTGGTAATCACAATACACTTTTCAAATTACCATTCAGAAGGTTGTACACATGGCGCTCACCCGGTGATACACCAGAAAATCTCATAAGAAACCAGATTTATTATATTTTAATAGATAAAAGATTTAAAAACTCAGTCAACATCAGTGAAAACCTAGAATACATACAAACAACAAAGTCAGAATAGCCATGTTAGTGTCCAACATAGATTTAAACAAATAGCGCTCATTATTTTTGTTACAATTATTAATAAAACACGTAAATATATTTTATTTATTTTCGATATATCTTAGCTCAAATAAAACGAATTTTTTGTCTTGTCTGTTTTCCTTTGAGGCGCCTGCTAAAACAGGTTGTTTTCTTTTGGTATCTAAACACACTTCGATATTGTATGTTACCACCAGTTCTTCTTTTAACTGTTTTTTCCTAGTACCAACCGCTTCGCTAATTCATAAGAAGTTTTCTGTCCACCTAGAACTCGGCTTATTGGTTTTGGGAACTTGTGAAAGTCGATAAATCTTTTAGATTTATTGATTTATTATTATGCAGCTTCTTAGTAAATGTATAGAAAAAGTGGCTGCTGACAACTCAATGCTGAACGTTTAAAGTTTGTTATAGAATCAGTCGAAAATTTGAAGAGTCGTTATTTCCTATAAAATTTTGGATTGAATCGGCATTCAGAGATTTCTCCCTCGATTCTCACGTGGGATAGTCGTCCCAGCAGCACCGTACTTGACAGTAGGTAGGTACATACCGCCTCTTAAAGGGACATGTACAAAATCATTACTTTATAGCCCCCCTCACGATTATTAGGCAAGGCAAATACCTCCCAACAAAATGTCAGATTTTAAAACAAAATCGGATGTACTTTTATTTATTTATCTGTTTCTACAATGCCAGAACATTATTTTCTGAAGAAAAATTTACTGAAATGAAGTTGTCAGAAAAACCTGACAACGATTAAATCAGGGCATATATTTTACAGTATAGGTAGTGAAACTGACTCAATCGGGGGAGTCGGTTTCTTTATACACAAAGGTCTTGCAGATGACATAGTAATTACAAGAAGTATATCTACAAGAGTAGCCTTTTAATCGTAAAGCTAAACCGAAGGTATAAAATAAAGATTATTCAGGTATACGCACCAACAACGGACCATCTGGATGAGGAGACGACATCTCTGCGGCACTGAAAGAAACACCAACACACAAGTACGGTCTAAATTAGGATAAACAAAAAACAGCACTATTTTAGTGTTTTAATAGGTAAATTTGGATCCAAAGGCAGAAACAAACGTGTACAAATACTACTAGAGTTTCTATAACAACAAAAAATATACCAGATGAAATAGTTTCTTCTCATATTGAGAATACAAAATCTACATACCTCCATGATACTGTGGGTTTTAAATTTTGTTTAGAAATGATATTTGTTTCAAAATCTTCCATAAATATATCGGCTAAGAATGGAGATAAAATAGAGCCCATTGCTAGACCAAAATTTTGTTTATAGTATTCATTATTTAGTTGAAAATATGTATTATCAATACATAATGTTAATAACTCCATTATAGCCGATATGTTTAGTCTTGTTCTAGTTGCCAATGAATCATCACTCTCTAATTTTGTCTTGACTATACTTAAAGTCTTATTTAATGGCACATTCGTAAATAAACTATTTATGTCAAAACTTACCAAAGTATTATTTGAATTAAATTCAATATTTGATAATTTATTTAAAAAATATTGTGTATTTTTTATGAATGTGTCATTTTTATTTGTAAATGGTTTTAAAATATTTAATAAAAATTTTGATAGTTCACTACAAGGAGAATTCATGGTACTACAAATGAGTATATTCGTTTTATAAATTTTTGGTACTCCATAAAAATGAGGAGTCTTACTGTAATGAGGTGTAATTAATCCTCTCTGATAACTTGTTAAAAAATCTTTTAAACTTGATTAAAGTTCTATATATTTTGTTTTCCAAAGGCTTTGTTGGATCTTTTGTTAATTTTGTATAAGGTCCATTTATTATTAGATCTTCAATTTTGTTTTCGTATTGAATTTTATCCATTATCACAGTTGCTAATACAAACAAATCATGGAAGTGAAATATGACATTATAGACGAGATACGAACCAAACAATTAATATAGAATTTACATGCACAAAGAATGCCTATTTGAAAACAGACATTAAAAAAAGAACGGAACAGAGAGTGGTCTGGACTGCAAAATGACATTAGAAATCGCGAAAGCCCTTTTAACACGTTCAAGAGGGGTCTCAAAAAGTGTTTCGACCTACCGGTATATCGCTACATCTTCCCATTTTATCAAAATTGATCATTTTTTAAGATGTTACCTCTTTAAAACTGAACTTAAACTAGATTTTCCATTAAATAATTATCAAATTTGATATTGTTCATAATTTTCATTTTTTTTCTTGTTCTTGATTAAATTATTGCAAATAGTCTGCGATTGTAAGTGACTACCGCAACCGTAGAACCGTAGAAAAAAATTTTGAATACAACTTATGCATAGTGACGACTGTTTTTTAACGAATAAAATTGCCCCACTTACTTTGTTTTTCTTGCAGGATTTTGTACAAAATCTCTCAGTTCTATCAAGAGGTTCGTTAGACGAAAAACTAAGATGGGCGTTTTCTTTGTATGATATTAATGGAGATGGATGTATTACTCGCGAAGAAATGACTGATATCGTAACCGCCATTTACGATCTTATGGGAAAACTAGCAGAGCCTTGTATCGAAGAAGATACCGTCAAAGATAAAGTTGATAGGATATTTCAAGTAAGTTTTAATGTAAATAATACAGTTTTTTAATATCGATAAAATGATATTTCTCAAGTTTTTAAATTACTGTTCTTTTATTATCCACAAGGAATCTACGTTCATGTAGTTGTCTGTATACCATAAATTAAAAAATTTATTAAAAATCTTTTATAAAAGGTATATATTTAAAAACCCAATCGGGCTATGGTATACAAAACGTTTTCGGAATCCATATTCCATCATCAGTGTCTAGGTATACATGAATGTAGCCACTAAATATGTGGGTAAAAACACGTTAAAAATTATTTGTTTACATTCAGTTTACAATATTTATTATTTATTATAAGGATGTTAAAGTCACCGGTAGATGGCGACATATGACTCCACGTGAAGTTGCTAGTCCTGAGACGGTGTGTCTACGAGGGCTTTATAAAAGCAACTCGTTGAGTTATATCGCCTTAAATTTTATGATAATAAATGTGGCTTTGTGGCTTCACTCTTGATTTTTTTTTGTCCTTGTATTTTAGAGTTTCCCATACGCCTAATCATTTTTTTGAGTTGGCTGTGCGCATTCCGCATCATACCATTATGTCCCCTTCCTTTCTTGTTTCTTCTTTTCTAAAGCTGTTGTTGCTACTTTTATCAGGATATTTTTGCACTCATTTCAGTAATTATCTATGTTTTCAACAGTACCACTCATTTGGTCTTCTAGTTTTTCTTTAAGTATGTGTTCAAATTTTCTATCTCAGGATTTCGTAGTCTGTTCACCTCGAATTTATCTTCTTTGCTTCCTTTATCTTTTTTTGTCTAATATAACAACAGTAATTATGAGAGGAATATAAATATAAAAAAATATATTAAATGTTCCATTTAAAAAAATTGTATATTTGCTATACCACGTAGTTATTAATCACCCTGTAGAATTCCACATACTTTGCAAGTATGGAGAATATCATTGCCTACATGTTTTTCAAATAAATAAGGTTTTTGGATATCTTCTGACACAATGGAATTATCGGCCGATATCGTACTAGAAACTCATCCTGTATATACGTTACTTGAGCCTACTGTGTAACCGAGGCACCAGCTGTAACATTATTATTAAGGATTTCGCCTCTTGGTGTACGAACAGTCATAGAGGATATGTTAAGGATATTACAAGAACGTTACAGGAACACACAAAGCATGAGAGGATCCTGAATTTAATCCCAGATTTGTAAGTCCATATCAGTATGTCGAATGCAATCCCTGAGAACCAGAGTTGATAAATTAAATTAGTTGATAAAAATATAAATATTTATCTAGTTGTTAAGACTGCTAATAATAGTAAGATAATAATTAAACACCTAAGTATAAGCATGACAAAAAAGTCAAAACGAAAAATAGAATTATAGAATAGAAGGCATAAAAAAATTGACTTTTAAAAATGCATATGGTTTTGAATCAAAAATGGATTAATGTTACAAAAAACTATTCGTTTTATATCTCACGAAGCAATTTTTGTAAAAACAGGTGAGCAGGCAAATGCCGCTTTGTCCCTAATCGTAAAAGAAAATATTGGTACAACTCATCACAATATGTTTCAACATTTTTAAATTTAAAACCTACATATTTATTTGCCACATTGTTTTAGAGCAGCCCACACTAACTCAATTGGATTTAAGTCCGAATTGTAAGGAGGTAGTATTAAGACAGAGTGACCTGCATTGTTCATAATTTGGTCTATTTGAGGTGTGCTGTATGCGGTATAGAGCGAAATATTAAACGTAATTAGATCGGTAAATTGGGTTCTGAAATAAATAGAACATTAAATTTACTTAGATTTAAGAAAGTAATTATTCCTGTTTATGGTTTAGCAGGCCAATAGCGTTCCTTGTAGTAACTTTAAGTATGTTTAAGAATTTCCTTGGTTAATGATTTGTTTTAGTAAGTTTAAGATCATACTATTTTGACTCATGAGTTGCGAGGACATGTTTTTGAACTCGTTTAGGTTAGGCACGTTTAGGAATTTTCATAGTTGTTGTTCTATATTAGTTTTAGGTTCTGAATCATGGTTGGTTTTATGTGCTCTCATGTTTATATATGTTCTTTGATGTTTTGTACAGTGGTGTTTAGTTGATTTGTTTCAGTACATACATGGAGGCTGTTTAATGTTGTGCTTTGAGCTTGTTGGTTACCTCTTTTCGGTATATGTCTGTTTTCTACTAGTTCCCTGTAGCCTATACTGCCCTTATAGTCATCAGGGTGATCTTGTTTGCATAGTGCATACTTAACTGGAGTGCCTTTAGGTTTTTACAATCTTTTGTATCATATTGTTCTTCATAGTTGACGCTGTAATGCAATTTAGTGCAATATGTTTTACTATGGCCGTATGCTTGACATCGCATGCATTGAATTATTGAGTTTCTCTTATTTGGTGCCTCGACTGCTATTTAGGTGTGACATAAGAATTCTAGATTGAATATGTCTTTGTTGTTACTGTTGGGTTTAAGGTCTATCAAAAATAAAGATAAGGGTTCGTTTGTTTGTCTATTTCGAATGTTAGTTATATTGCGAACTTTATGGCCGGCTTTTTCTAGTTCCTTTGTTATATGTTATTATCACTCTGTGGACATGTTCTTCCTTTATTTGGTAAGTGTGGTGAATGATTTTTTATTCTCGTAAATGACTTATCAGTTTACGGCATATATCTATTGCATTTGTTGTAATCTTGACAGTGTCGTTTGGCAGAGTTCTGGTATAGTACAGGTTCATATGTATACAGGTATACAGTTCAGGACTCTCGGCGTTTGATATTGCACTGTATCGATTTTGTATTTTTGTTGGTTGTGAGCTTATAGAATTGGGATCGTTATTTTCTTTAAAAAATTTATGTTTTTTGACTACTTGCCAGAAGTGTTTATTTTGGGTTTCTTGATCGTTGTCTTCGTTAAACTCTATATCCGAGTTTTCTGAATGTGAAATAGCAATTTTTAGCTTTGAATTTGAGGTCTGCCCTACAGTAGATGGATTGCTTGGGCTGTAGTAAATTGATTGGGATGTGGTGGAAATTGTTGTGGTTTTAGTGGAAGAGCGAATTGATTTTGTGGAATGTTTGATATAGGAGTATGTGTCAGTTGCCAGTATATGCGGTTTGGTGCATCTTCGGAGGTGTATTCTAGTGGCGAATATTGTTGGGGAGTTGGGTACATGTTCCTTAACGTTTGTTAATAATGGACCGGCTGCTTACCTGCAATTTCTGCTGATACTACAATAGACACTGATTTTTTGTGCTCTGTGTGTATAAATTGTTCATTGTAGAAAACAAAATTTGGTACCTAAATACATTTAAATTTAACGCTTATTTACATGAAATCATTATTTTTAGTATTAATAATTCACTAAAGCTTTTTTGCTACGGTAAAACTGTATAAAATACTATAACTAGGAGTTTCTTAATGACACAATAATGTTAAAATAAAGTATATAAAGTAAAATAAAGCCCTTAAACTTAAATTCAAAAAAAAGTATATCTTATCTTTAGTAATGACACTTTTACTTTAGAACAAAATAGCTCTTTCGTATTCATTTTGTGTAACAAAAAGGTAAAATGATAATTCGTAAAGTTTTCAATCTGGTACACACTGCTATAATTGAATTTCTTCGACAGTTGAAGACATTTTCCCTTTTCAAAACGTCTTCGAAACGATACTTGATTAAAATTGTTTGTGTTCTTGTGTTGCGCAATTCTTAAAAGTTCTAATCCCGCTCTTGTTGTTAAACCGGATTTACCGGATTCCCCAAATTATTTAAAGGTTTTATAAGACTTGTGTTATAAGATTCTAGATCGGATTACAAAATTGAAGGTATACATCTACAGTGCGTCCATAAAGTAATGCATTAATTTATTATTAGCTAGGTCGATTTTTCATTTTAATTTACTGTTTTTGCAAATTATAATCTAATAAGATTAAAAAAAAAAAGACCTGCAAGATGACACCAGTATTGAACAGCTTAACGAAAAATTGGTAGAAGCCCTGAAGAAGTCACAGAAGAAGTGCCAAGCCAAGCACTCAACAAAAAATGAAAAACTCACAGAAGACACAAGAAACCTAATGCAAAAAAGAAGGGAAATGAAAGAAAAGCATACAACGAACATTGCAGAGCTAAGGAATTTAAACAAAACCATTTCAAAAGCCATTAAAAAAGACATAAGAAACTTTAACACTAAGGAAATAACTGATACCGTAGAACAAAACAAAAGCCTAAAAGTTCTAAAACGAAAGTTGAAAATAGGAACGAGGAATATTTATAAGTTAAAAAATAATCAAGGACATGTCATACATGAACAACAAGAGATACTAAAAATCATCGAAGAGTACTATAGAACATTATATAGTCGAGATGATCACATTCCCGAAGTAGAAATTCCAACAATACTAAATCAAGGGTCAGAGGAACTTCCAGATATAACCGAAGAGGAAATTAAGTCAGCATTAAAAGGTATGAAGAACAACAAAACACCTGGAGAAGATGGCATTGTAAGTGAAATGATAAAACTAGGAGGCGAATGCGTCATAAAGGCTTTAAAAACCCTTTATAATGCCTGCCTCTTTGAAGGAAATACGCCAGAAAAATGGAATAATGCCATTATGATATTATTGCATAAAAAAGGAGATGTAACAGAAATTGGCAACTACAGACCTATCAACTTATTATCTCATTTATATAAACTCTTTATGAGAATAATTACTAACAGACTGGGACCTAAGCTAGATTTTCATCAACCTCTAGAGCAGGCCGGGAGTGGCTTTGGAACAAATGACCACCTACAAGTAATAAAATCCTTGATAGAGAAAGTTATAGAATACAACAAGCCATTGATATTAATATTTGTAGACTTTGAGAAAGCATTTGACTCAGTCCAGCATAGCTCCATGTTAAGAGCTCTTACAGAGTGCAGTATTGACCATAGGTACACAACTCTTCTTCGAAATATATATGATAGCGCAACAGCTGCTGTAAAAATGTACTATGGTGACACAGACACATTTCCCTTGGAGAAAGGTATTAGGCAAGGAGACACTATCTCTCCTAAACTATTCACCGCCCTATTACAGAGTGCTATGAGAAAAAATAATTGGGAAAATATTGGATTAAATATAAATGGGGAATTTTTGAACAACTTGAGGTTTGCAGACGACATAGTCCTTATTGCAGATCAGGTAGATCATGCATGCCAACTTCTTCAAGACCTTCAGAGCTCTTGTGCACGAGTTGGCCTTAAAATTAATTTTTCCAAAACACAATACATGACCAACCTGGTACTGGCAAAAAACATTTCCACTAATGGCACGCAAATTGAACAAGTGTATTCCTATAAGTATCTGGGCCACGAGATTAAATTGGGAAGAGACAATCAAACAACAGAGTTAAAAAGGAGAATAGGACTGGCATGGGCAGCTTACGGAAAACTGAGGGAAGTCTTTAAATCAGCTATTCCCATGTGCTTGAAGAGAAAAGTTTTTGATCAGTGTGTACTTCCAGTTCTGACATATGGAGCAGAAACATTGACACTTACCAGAAAAGTAATTAATAAGATACAAGTGGCACAGAGAGCGATGGAGAGGTCAATGTTGGGCGTATCACTCAGGGACAGAGTTTCGAGTCAGATAGTAAGGAGAAAAACTGGTGTGACGGACGCAGTTGAAAGAATTACAACCCTGAAATGGAACTGGGCAGGACATGTTGCTAGGGTCAGAGATGGAAGATGGACAAAGAAAATTTTAGAGTGGAGGCCTAGACACGATGCTTATCGTAGTCGAGGACGTCCTCCAACAAGGTGGTCGGACGATTTAAAGCGCATCCAGTCTAACTGGATTCAAGTTGCTCAAGATCGGATGCAATGGAATTATTTACGGGAGGCCTATGTTCAGCAGTGGACGCAAAATGGCTAATGATGATGATGAATCTAATATACAGAGTGAACCACCTTCATAGGATGACGTCATTATTTTTTTTAATGAAACCACCATTTTTTTTTATTTATGAATGTCCCTTGCCGAGCTAATTGCAAAAACGTACAAAACGTTGCTTTAAATTGGTACAGGATGGCAAACATGCAAAAATTCGCACGTGCTTCATAACCTCCTGACCGCAAAAGTACTAATTGTAGAACATAACATTTGAATTCTCGTAGCGCCTTCTAAAAGTAATGTATTAAGTGTATATCTTTGTGTGGTACTCTATTGGAATATTTTAAAACTACGAAACCGACAGCACGTGCATAATTTCATTTGTTTTGCGACAATGGCACAAAGCAGTCGAAGTGAGCGTGTTTGAAGAAAAAAAAAAGGGTAAGTACTATCTTCAAATATGTATTTAATAATTTGCAGCACATTTTTTATTCACTGTGTTCTTAAAAGGTTGCAAATTAATGTAAAGAGTATAGTTTTTCAAAAAAATTAACAAAACATAAGTAATAACAGATAAAATGTTTATATCCTTTATGTATGTAGGCATATGGTGGCAAACAGTCTACGTTAACATTTTTTATGTACTTCATATGGGACATTTGTTGGTTACAGTTTTTAGTTTCAGCATTATCAGAGGAGGAATTATTAGAGTTGCTCAATAACTCAGATGCATCGGATGATGACTTTTCAAGTGATGACTATGACAATGATCCAGATATCGAAAATAAAAACGACATATCCAGTTTTGATGAAGCAGGAACTAATTCCGAATATATATCTATATCTATGTAGCCTATTGTAGAAGAAAGTGATTCCAGCGATGTTTCTAGATGTGTATCTTTGCCAGCTATTTCGGATACGTCTTTTGTAACTCAAACTCAGTCTTCTGGGCTAGGAAGACATTCCTTAAGCCGAAGACGGGGACAATTTCATGTAACTCGTCAGGCTCCCTATAAGGTGCAAATAGTATTATTGATTTAACTGGCCTACTATTTTGTACAGAACTTTCAACTTTCTGACCTTTAGTATTATTAATAACTATTAATTAATTACAAACAATTAATAGGTTCAATATTTCAGTTAGCAAAACCTTTCAAAGGACAAATGTAGGTGCGCCATGTGTTATGTTAGGTGACGAAGCTTTTACTTTAAAAAATAATCTATTACAACCTCATCCATCACAATTACTGGTGTTAAAAAACGTCACGACATAACTAGTTACGGAGATGTTGAAGCAGAAGTACGACAACAAAGCTTAAAAGCAAGTAAAGCTGCAGGTTCTCTTAATGACACAATCTGGAAGAACAAACAGCTAAGACAAGACACAAAAACAAGAATCTATAAAGCAGCAATTAGACCTATATTAACATACACGGCGGAGACAAGACCTGACACATATAAAACGAGATGACTGCTAGAAACAACAGAGATGAAAATACTCCGACGAATATCAGGGAGAAGCCTGAGCAAAACGGCTCAAAAACAGATCTAATTTAAACACAATCGATATTAAGAAACTCACTAATCCAGAAACCGAAATAAAAGTACGAGAACAACTAGGAAAGAAAATAAACGACATTAACGAGAACACGTCGGACATAATAGAGAGACGGTATAAATCGAGGGAAGCAATCCAACCAACATGCGCGACTCTATTAAAGCGTGACAGACGGAAGAAGAAAGAATGGATGTCTGATGAGATAATGGATATGATGGATAAAAGACGTAAATTCAAGAATAAAAATACCAACAAATCCACAAAACCATAAGAACGAAAACTCGAGAAGCCAAAGAAAAATGTTTTTCTAACGAATGCAAGGAAATAGAACAATACGAACGAAAATACGACAGTTACAATATGCACAAAAAAATATAATCAATGACAAACAAGAGGAAATTAAATAAACAAAATAAAAGATAGCGATGGAAATCTTTCATACCAGAAACATGGAAATCATACATAGAAAAATTATTTGCATCTGACAGGACTGATGATCACCTATATGGAGAAGGAGAAACAGGACCTTCAATCCTTAAATCGGAGATAGAAGATGCCATTGCAGCACTAAAAAACAACAAGTCAGCGGGTCCAGACAATGTACCCTGCGAAATATTAAAGATTCTCTGTAAATCAGACAAACAGTTCCTTGATAACCTAGTTGTACTTTTTAACAACATATATAATAGCGGTAAAATCCCGGAGAACTGGCTGCAGTCAACATTTATTACAATCCCGAAGAAACCAAATGCCCAGATCTGTGATGACAACCGGCATATAAGCTTGATCAATCATGTCCCTGAACCGTTCACTAAGATCATTTATAGAAGAATGTATGATAAATGTGAGTCAAATATTTATAGATCGCAGTTTGGTTTTCGGAAAGCACTTGGAACTAGAGAAGCAATTTTCGCTTTCCAGGTGCTTATACAGCGGTGTAGAGACGTTGATAAGGACGTGTATTTGTGCTTTGTAGATTTTAGAATAGCATTTGATAATGTCAATCATGAGCAATTGATAGATATTCTGCGAAAGACAGGTATTGACGACAAGGACCTTCAAATTGCGGCAAACCTATACTGGGGTCATAACAGCAAGAGCAAAAATTGGCAACGAACTCACTGAAAATGTGCAGATCAAAATAGGTGTCCGTTAGGGTTGTATATTATCCCCACTCCTATTCAATATGTATTCCGAGGAAATATTTAACAAATGTATGGAAAATGCAAATGATGGCATAAAAATAAACGGCGAGTTAACGAACATTATAATATATGTCGACGACACGATGATCCTTGCCAGTACCATAGACGAATTACAATAGGTAATGGAAAGAGTTTATTCAGTTAGTGAGGAATACAGCCTGAGCCTCAACTTCAAGAAGACAAAGTGGATGCTGATAAGCAAAAAGCAACAACCTGCCAGACAATTACGGAGAAGTAACATACTAATTGACTTTGTAGAATCTTATGTGTATCTTGGCACCAACGTAAATGCAAAATGGGAACAGGCCACAGAAATTAAGGCGAGAATAGAACGAGCTCCAGCAGCATTTAGCAATATGAAAAAGCTCCTCATAAGCAAGGATTTGTCTCTTCCCCTAAAACTACGTCTAGATAAATGCTACATTTTTCCGATCTTACTGTATGGTGTGGAGGCCTGGACGCTGACGGAGACGCTCACGAGAAAACTAGAAGCATTCGAAATGTGTGCGTGTATCGACGCATTCTTCGTATATCCTGGACCGAACATGTCACCAGCATAGAGGTACTCCAAAGAATCGAAAAGAAGAAAGAAATCGTGAATACAATTAAATAAAGAAAGTTTAAATATCTAGGTCACATATTGAGACACGATAAGTACCATTTGCTGCAATTGATTGTCCAGGGAAAAATAGACAGTAATCGCGGGCCAGGTAGGAGAAGACACTCGTGGCTCCAAAATCTGCGGAAGTGGTTCGGGCTCACATTGGTCGAACTATTCAGAAGCGCCGCAAACAAGATCAGAATTGCCGTGTTAATAGCCAACGTTCGCAACGGACAGGGCACTTGAAGAAAAAGAAGAATGTGTCGGTACGGACACGGTCCGTATATGATACCTTCTAGTGGGTTAAGACCTTTAATTTTTAATTTAACGAGTGCGTCTATATTTTTGCTTTTAAGTATTTCTTTCTAACAGAAATCATCAGAGCGAATGGTACAGAATGTCTGAACGTGAAAACAAATCTTTTTCGTTGAAAGAAGCAGCAATACGTTTTCACGTTTTCTTTATGAGTACTACTGAATACTGGAAACCAATTTGCCAAGGATTTTTGCTTAAAGGATGAGATATGTTAAGGAATGCAACTTTTAGATTCTGCATAGCTCTCTCTCTCTCTCTCTATCTCTCTCTCTGTCTTACATTTTATCGCATCGTCTCTTTTGCCTTGCAATTCATAGAAGGCATAGATTAAAGCAAAAATCTTAATTTTGGTTTCGTTAATAGAAATCTTCTGATTTCTACTTCGGTGATTTATCATCAGATGTCGCTCTAGCGTCCATACTAAAACCATTTTATTATTGATTCTTTTGATGGAAAAGATTGTTTTCATGTTCAGAGCTTCTGTACTAGCATCTCTGATGATTTCTGTTAATGAAACGGATGAAATACGTATAAGCGAATATACCATGGTGATATTCAAAATCTTAGTGCGCCAAGCAATTAATTAGCTAATTAATTAATTAATTAAAATTATTTAAATGATATGATTATGATTCTATCACACTTTTTAATTCTCTTATCTCAGGGTTATATTCGTGCTTCAATATCTATGCTTTACATGTGAAAGGTAAGGTCCAAAGAATACCGGAATAATAAAAAAACATATATGATATAACATTATATATTGAAATAAAAATAATGAAATAAAATTCACACTCAAATGTTTTCAATAAACAATATCTTATATAATGATTCTCAAAATTTTGTTCTACGTACGTGAACCTTCAAAATTAATGGTACAAACAATATTAGATAAAATCTTAAAATCCCAATTATTCTAAATCTCCTAATCAAAATATTTATATCTTTTCTAAAGTAATTGTAAAAATTGTGTTATCAATAAAAGAAAAACTGCAGAAAAACAAAACTATCTCTCTCTGATGATGAGTGGTCCAAATCCTTGTTCCTTGTAGCCTATACTATCTATTTTTAGCAGCTCCCTAGGTAATCAGCAATCTTACAACAAATTGTTGCAAGTTTATCGTCCTTAATGATCTTCTTCAAATGCACGAATCGTTCAAATTATGCTAGCCTCTTCTCCTCTCGATAAACTGAATCTCTCGTTGACCTGAGTGAAAAATGACTCTTGGAATATCTTCTCTTTACGATAAACTGAATCTCTCGTTGGCCTGAACAATGACTCATGAAACATAAGTAGAAAAATATGACTTACAATCTTTTACTGGATCAGCTTCTGTCAGATACACTAACTACACGAAATCTCACAAACTTTCACTGCTACTGCTTCCTACCTCTGGGGAACTAGCCGAGAACAACGGCCGTTCGCCTTGCACCCTTGGAAACCAACTGCCTATCTTTTTTTTCTTCAAAACTAACTAAAGTCTCATTCTCAAACCAACCATCCCACCTTTTTCCATCTCATCCAATCAAAACGCGTCATACATCTCCCATTTCTTCATTTCAATAACACAAACAAATTTTTACCTACAATTATAAAATTTCCTAAAACTTATTTACAAACTAATCTTTTTCTACCAATTCTTATGAACTAACAAAAACATATCTTTGTAAAATCTATTCTATTGTCCTAATTACTACACAAATTTATTTGGAAAACCAACCATTCCATTGTCTAGTATTTCACTTAAGCTTATTCACGTCACTCAAATATATTTAACAAAGAAAATAATTTATGCATATCTTACGTTTTGTTCAATATAGGTAATCCAAAGATAAAGGACTTTTATTCTTCGAAATGTTTGTAGTTTATTATTCGAGTTATCTGAATTATTTTAATTTTTTATATAAATATAAAAAAGTTAAAAATATTTTAAGCAAACCAATATTTTTCTCGATTTTACATATCATAACAATACATACGCACTATACGTGAAAACAAAGCTTAACTGTATTTCTTTTATTTCAATATACTCTTAATGAATACTAGAAACCAATTTGCCAAAGATTTTTGGTTAGATAGGGAGATATGTTGTGGAATGCAACTTTTAGATTTTGCATATCCCTATTTAGTGAAATATATTGCAATAAAAAAAATTATCTACTGTAAGTACAC